CTCTGAACCCGGTAGTATGGAACACCTCGGGTTAATGTTTCTTCGCTTGCATAGGCTACCATTGTCACAGTCCATACTGAGCCCACTGACCACTCAAACGGTGCGATGAACAACGGCCGTACGCCTCTTGGGATGGAGCAAGTCCACCTCCACTGGAGCTTGGCCATCCTCAGAAGAATACACCAGCTTGGCCATCACTACACCGTTCCCATCAAGGACGCTACTAGGGGCTCCTGGCATTGCCACTAGGAGAATTCGTACTACTAGTGACAAGAAAGCTACTATTGGGGACAAATCCTGAGACGAAAACGCCCACCCCACCGCCCACGCCCGAGCCCAAAGCAGCATCCTGAGGCATCCACAGCGGTGATCCGGAGCTGCACCGTGGCCCTGACGAGGACGAGGGTCTTACTTACGAACACACACGGCACCTATGGCATTTAAAGACCCATGATGTTTGGACAGAATGACTAATATATGAATATGTTCAAAAACACCGATTTGTTTGGTGTTTGGATCCAACACCATCATGGTCCGGACCATGATGGTGTTGGATCCAATGATCATCATTGTTTTTTTTGGATGTTGAATGCAACATGCTTTACACTCATGTTTGAGTAGCGGCTAGGCATCCTCTTTAGAGCTTTTTGCCTAAGTGGCCATGTTGGCGGGAACAGGAGTCCGAGTCGAATCTCAAACGACAGGGACCTTGCTCAAACGATCGTAAAAATCATCAACCCTGCGGTTCAGCACCTGCAAATAGGGCGAGATTCATCAAACACTTGGGACCCCTCCCAATCTCTGTTTCCCTATCTAAAGACTCCAATGTATTCGACCAATTGCCATACATCCGGACAGCTCATGTCATTTGCCATGACTCTTGTTTCCATATAAGGCTGCCACAGTAGGTTGCTTGTACCTCTTGTTTATTCTTGCCCAGTGGAAGCCGCTGGTTCTTCCAGTTTCCCACAAAGAAAACTGAGCACGCTGGCGTTTTACGGCAGTGGGGGGCACTGAACCGCAGACGTCTCCTGCGCCCGAAGGAGGCGCAAGAAGGCTTAGGCAGGGAGGGAATCCAGTGGCGAGCCAAGCAAAACCGGTTGATTTTTACTTAAACACTTACAACATCCGACAATGCCCTACACACCATGAAAATATAGGTCTGGCTCATGATGAGGAGCTTCTCCAACCTACCTGTTTCATCTCCTTCGTCAGCTGCTGCACCCGAAACCATGGCTGATGGAAACCTCCTGCAGTCCTCCGCGCCAGGGCGCGACCATTGTGAATAGATCTCATTGAGGGTGAGCTTTCCTGGAGGGCGTTTCAGAGCTGCAAAAGCACCACCAAGTTCACGAGACTGCTTTTCTTTTACAAATTTCCGGACGGATTCTATGCGATCGGTTGTGGTTATATTCCAGTTGGATGTTTCTGCAAAAAAATACAGCCTTCTTTGATCAGCATGCCCCCTACAAGGCAATGGCCTTTACACCGCTACAAGTACAAGGTCACTGCCTTTCAAACTTCAACATACAGTAGTTCCCCTGGTTCCCCAGGAAATGCATGATCTATGTAATTCTATAGCGGATCTCAAATCCGTTGGCTTGTGCTTTTCGCTCGTTTCCTCCAGCCCCACCAGATCAGTCGTTTCTTCCAGCGCCCCGTGCCTTGGCACTTTGTGCACTGGCCATTGAAAACAAGCCTTGGATGCGTGCGTGTACTCGGCACCGTGCAACAGAATTCTCTCATCGCATGGCTCGGCACGTTACTCGTCGTTACGAAGTTCCCAGGGCCGCTGTCGGCGAGCTGCAGGGCACAAGTCAAGCTTGGTCATACTTGAAGGGCTTGGCTTTAAACAAGAATAAATATAAAGGCCACAAAGGCTTATAGGATCTTATAACCTATAAGTGTTCGGCAAGTTTCAAGACCACTCTCAAGGGGTGTGCAGGTCCTTAGGTTGGAGGCTATCGCTAGTTGGTAGCTTGGAGGCCATTGCTTTCTGGCCCAACTTTCAGCCCATGGCCACGCTCCCTCTCCGTCGGCACCTCTCGCCGGGCCTCCGCACGTCGCCTTGGGCGCGCCGTCCACAGCCTGGAGCAGCACCCGTGGCCGTGCGGCCAAGTCCTGAATGCCAAGTCCAGAAGCGGTGAAGCGCGGTTCAAAGAAGCGGGACCCCCTGCACGCTGTGGACCTGATTGTTTGTTTTGTTTTTGGTCTGTGTGTGTGTTTTGCTTGCTGACGGATTTTTTTGGAGACTCGACAAGAGGCGCTTGTTGCACTTTGAGGAACACCAAGAACAGCCAATGCAGCGCTTTAAGTGGCTTCTGTACTCACACTTGTCGCTTGACATATCGTGTTGCCCTCTTCCAACGTCGCTCTAAAACAGTTGTTCAAGCAAAGGCACACGGTTGCACGACGTGATGAAAGGTATTTACCAGAAGGTCGTGCAAAAGACTGACATGTCCATCGACAACACCGACTTCACTGTCCTCCAATAAAAGTAGATCAGCCTGGCCGATTGCGGGCTGTTGAGGGCAGGGAAAGGACCCCCCCAAAAGAACTCACGAAGCCTTGAAAAAACCCATGCTCAAGGTGGGGCTGCTTCCCAAACCCCTCTGAAAAAGGAATCAGATTCTGATATATGGAACGCTCCCGTGAGAAGGAGGCTCAGGCCCTCCGAACGGGCGCAAACCTGCTGATCCGTTCCTCCGAAGTGGCGACCGCCCGCATTCCTCGGAGGACACGCGGCACGCGCGTGGACACGCGCTGCGTGAGGAGGAAACGCCTCAAGCTAGACATGCACAGTCGGCAGTGCCTCCGGACACAAACTGACATACATGTGTGTGTACATCATGATCATCATGACATACATCCTTTCGGTTGCTCTAACCGGAACAGCGTCTTTTTTTTCCACCAGAGGATGATATGACCAAGTGCCACATGCTGGCTGAAGTGTATTTCAAGATCTCGTGAGATCGAAGTAAAGCCAAGCCGCTGGGCGGCCAGCTTTCATCAAAGTGCAAAAACTTCATACATTTGAGGGTCGACTGCACTCGAGCCCACACCCGCTGGACTCTTCCAAGCGGCATGTGTGAAACCGGCTGATGACCTGGAATAGAGTTTTGAAGCAGGCTTGACAATTCTGCGCACTACGTACTGTAAGCACGAAGCTGTTGAAGAAACTGTATCTGTATATATCTATAACCATCCAAGCTCTTGATTCATTGCTGGCAGTGATTCAATCTCACTTCCGGCCTGTCTTGGGAACCGCTTCCTGTACCTGTAGCATGCGGACCCTACACAGCTAAAAGGAACAAAGTTCTCAAACGTTGAAAGGTTTAACAAAAGGTCTGGATCAATTCGACTGGGTCTGATGTCCGATGCCCTCTGATGATAGAGCAACGACAGATCGTTGCAAGTAAGGCCGTCCAAAGTTCAACCGGATGTTGACTCTTTGGATTAAATTTGGTCATGCGTTGGTGGAATACTCAACTCTGAGAGATGAGGCCATCGTTGGTGAGGCCTGGGAAAAAAGAACCCGTGCCTGGAAGATGTTCTGACTACAGGGCAGGTGTCCCCCAAAATTATTGATTGCATCATGATTCTGAACACTACCAAACTAGGACCCCATATGAGAAATGTTTGGAAGAACCAGTCACCATTGAACCATGGTGACGAAGGGGGAGCGGCAAAAAGTAGTGGATAATGGATGTAGGACACATCCGAGGCATCTTCCGCTGCGACTGATCACACTTCGGAAATAACAACACTAAGTCTTGGAATGGGAAGTGCATAGGCTATGTGAACATGTCAATTAAACCAGCGAGCCATGATTACAATGCTTGAGGGGGCAATGCTTGTGGCAATGACCCCCCCCCCACACATCACAAACATATATATGGCGCCTTGGTGTTCTCGTGGATGTCCGATGCCTAGGAGCGGTAGGATAACAAGAAGGAACTAAAAACAATAACCCCAAAACAAATAGAATAGTTAAATTGCATTATATATATATTATTTAAAAAACATATATATATATATATATTATCTACACTATATGTCACATATATATATATATATATACGCAATGAATTTACAACTATTGATATTTTGACCGTTTCAAGGTCCCCGCCCACAGAGAAAAAAGCGCCATCTCCCGCCATTTGGTTCTAAATACTCATAGAGCAAAAAACGCTCTAAGAGTACGGCCTTGTCATGCCTTGTCCCATCTTGTCCCTATTGGATTATATTGGATTGAATTGCTCTTTCTTCTGTCTACCATCCGTTGTGAGCATGTTTCGATCTGTTCCATTGCCTGCTCTTTGGCCAAACTCAGGTTGGGGTGCCCCTTTGTTGAACCTTATTTGGGAGTCTACCAGGTTCCCCACAAACAAAGGTGTAGCAGCTTGCAGAAGAGGAATCATGTCAAAAAACCAAGGTGCACTCCTACGGCATTACAAACATGTTGTTTCTGATTTTGCATGCCAAAACCTTTGACTGCGAGACTGGCCTCTAGTCCCGTTCTAGTCCCTCCCTCTCGGTAGCAAAGGAATATGTCTCCCAACCCAAGCCGAGCGCCTAAGCTAAGAAATAAATGAAGAAATATATAATTGATCTGTTACATAGTATTATATAAATGGGATCCCTGAAAGGTCTGAGTTGATCATCTCAAATGGGATAGGCTAGTTGGGATGCCCGACGCACAACTGCACAAAGTGCTCGAAGAAGACGGATGTGCTCTGCGGATGTGTGGCCACCTAAGTCGGCTAAGTCGGCACGGTCCTTCAACTTGCACAACTAGCTAGGTGTTGTTGGCTTTGTTTGGTGGGTTTGTTGTTGTGTTTCTTTCCGTCCCACCTGGCTTCATGGAAGCATCAAAAACCAAACAAGCATTTACTTCCCAACAGGCGTCAACAGGCGTCAATGCGATTCAATGTGCAAAAGTGTCGTCCGCTTCTTTTTGTGCCCTGCACGGCCACGAAAAAATGGTCACCGGCACAGTCTCACTTCCGCAGAGCAAAGGGCATTCCACCCCCATCCTGGCAGTATTCCACTGAAACATGCGAGGTGATGGAACATGGTTGGACGTCCACCCTGAGATAACCTAACAGGCAAGGAAGATTTGTGGTGATACCCGGTGATTTAAGGTTGATAGTTCTTCAGACTTGATCATTTGTAGTACATAGGCGCAGTACAGTGCAACCTTTAGCAGTGGCCAGGCTACAACACAAGCAAAAGGCCTTACAATATAGACAACGCTTCAGAACAAACCTAAGTGAAATATAGTGAAATGTACTAGTTACTATATACTAGTACACCATGCAACCAACGATGAGTCGTCGAGTGGAGTCGGTTCCTTTGACCGCCAGCTGGTCCCCTATTGTGACCTACTATGTAAGAACTAGGATGGCTGCACGGCCACGGATTACCTGAGATTCACCCCTGCCTGCGCACGTGCTAGCGCCTCTTCAACCTCTTCGATGACCAGCCTCTGTCAAGAAACATTTCTGTCTCGTTGTCTTTTCAATGGATTTCAACCCGAGATTCAGCTCAGGGGCACGATTGTGCACAGCTGGTTCTGGGAACGGTTGGATGCTTAGTTTGTTGACTCAGCTGCAACAAATACGCCGCCTCTGTGGCTACTTCTTTTGGGTCTTTGTCGTGAGCCGAGCTGCGTGTCAAACGGGAACCTCAACCTCCTAAACAAAAAGAGAAAGGCCTTAGCCATGATTAGATTACTGTTGGAATCTGTTTGACCTACGAATATCTACATTCATATACAATCATATACATGAATCCTACGGTCTTGCCCAAGAAGAATCTACCTATACCTCTTGCTTCTTGAAAAGCTAACCCACCATTCTAGACTGAAAAGCGGCTGGATCTTCAATTGGACATGTCGGTCTTCTCTCAATCTAGTTCAACTTTGGTCAGGAAAAGTGCAACTTGGTGGCTGAGCATCTCCATTTCAACCCAGCAACGGGCCGCGCGGTGGCTGAGCCCCGGACGCCAAGGCCGTCTTCTGCGCATGTCGGTATGCCACGGCCAAGCGCCGGCAGCCCTTGGCCGAGGTCAGCAGCTTGGTATCTTCCTGGAAGACCGAGTCACGAGGTCATGACTGAGTCACGAGGTCATGAGGAGAAGATCTGGTTCTCAAGTCTTGTCACTCTCCCTTCCATCAAGGCAACACATAAAAATGGGGCAAGACACAGGCAAACTCGAAACACCGCAAGTGTCAAGCAACCGCTCTTTTCACGTCATAAAGGCCGGTAGCATCAGGCATCAGAAACCTTCCACTGTGGAGCTACGGAGCTGTTCTGTGCAGTGCACGGGAAGTTCATTCGGTCCATAGCGACAGCTGTGTGCCACTCGGACGGGCACCGGTTCTTCACTTGGTGCCGGATTGCCCAACGAGGTCCACGATGTCCTGAACCAGCGCCTTGTTGACGGGAGGAATCCCGTGCTTCATAAAAATCATCTTCACCTTGTCTTCCACCTGAGGCCACCATGCTGATGCGTCAAGCAAGTGAATAATTCACGCTTTGGGATAACCCGGAACTGACCACTATGAAAACCCTGTTCTGAACCTAGGAAGAGAAGATCCGTTATATGAGGCATGTGCGTCCAATCAGTGCCAATCACTAGGAGTGCCAATCTCCAAGTCTGTGGAACCCTTGCTTTTACAGTCTAAAACACTCAGTATTGGTGCCTTGTGGGCGTCGTCCATCATGATGCCTTTGATGCCCTGGTATTCGGGGCTCAACTCCGGATGATTTGCAATCATCTTGGCCAAGAGCCGTTCATCCTCTTGATGCCTCAGCAAGAAACAGTCATGACCTGAACAAAAGGTCCAAGAGGATCAAAGAGGTCAGAATCTCAAGGACCTTGTGCTGGTAAGTGTTGCAGCCAAATAGTGCGGTTGATGATAACTAAGGCTGATGTTTCTAGCAAGGGTACCTTCTCAACACTACCATCACTACCATAAGAAGCAGCTGCCAAAAACCCAACCTCTGACAATCCACACTTGGGATCACTTGGGTGGGCGAACTTTTGGGGGAGGGCCAGGCACTTCTGATCCCAAAGGTGTCCACTGACAGACCAAGATGCATATACAAGTTCTCCTGTGCCTTGTGCGCTTCCTCCAGGATTCGGATCCCGCCCGCGAAGCGCGCGGCCGCTGGTGCAAGGACTGCGGTGTGACCAAGACGGGTTCGCAAGGAGCGTGCGCAGGTGGCCAGCATGACTGACTGGGGTGTGGCGCTGAAAATGAAATCAGAAACCAAGGAGCTTGAGCCAAGCTGCGGATTAAAACACCAGTTGGGCACAACAGTTGGAGGGTTTGGGAGTGTGGTGAACCTCCACACCTACCCCAATTGCAGCAATTGCATCACATGTCCCTATAAATGCTAGAAATTGATGGAACACTCACAAGTTACATGGTGCCTTATCTAAAGAACACCACAGGATCCAAGAGGCGCAAAGCCTCGCACATCATCAATCAAACAATGATATCAAACGGGTCCCCATCCCGTCGCGAATGAAAACGCACGTTCGTGAAAAAGCATGAATTGTGCCGCTCGTCCTGCAAGCTGGTGGGGAATTCCCCACGGCAACTGACGAGGACCTTCCGCAACATCTCAAGGCATTGCAGCTTCGCACGGCCTGACGCGGACGGCGAAGTGCGACGGCTGATGGTGCTCACGACATCGCAGGACTGAAAAGGCCAATAAAATCAGGTCAATCAAATGAAGTCATCCTCACTTCGAGGACCTGGGATCAGCAAGGGCAGTCGCACCTGTGAGATTCACAAAGTCCTCCACCTCGACCTTCTCAAGCTCTTCATTCGCCAGCACCAGCGAAGCTTTGAGGAACACATCATCCACCATGGCCTTGAGGTCATCCAGCCTCGTCCCACTCCAGGGCCGCGGAGCGAAGACGAAGGGGTGAACTGAAGAATTGGAGCAAAGGGGAACAAAAATCATCAATGACATGCCGGTGTTGTTGGCGGCACATTCTTGAGGCAATTGTGTGCAAAAGTGGTAGGGGCCAAAGCTCCTTCTTCCCGGGAAGAACATACAGCAATCAGCACACTGCCAAGATGAGGTCACCCGCACGGTTTGAATGACGATGATGATAACTCCCAACATTCAGTGCTCAGAACGACCTGCAAGTCAGAGATCCAGTAAATCTTTGATCTTACTCAGATCAGATCTGGTTATGCATTGGTCGCATCACAAAAGATTATGGCTTGAAGAAAGTAAATGCCACCCTCAAATAGGATCTGCTGTGTCCGTTTTCAGATCTCTGGTCCGCACGGTCGATCTCCCTATCTCCCTCTCTCTCTGCTTCTCCCCATCCTCTCCCCATCCTCGCACCTGGTGCCATCTTCGCCCGGATAGCGCGCATGAGGTCTTAGGCAACCTGCTAGGCTCACATCGCCCGGGAGCCGCCCAGGGCGGAGGCCGGGGAGACGTTGCAGCCCTCGGTGGTCGTGGCCCGGATGGATGACGTGGGCGAAATGGGGTACCATTTGAGTGGCAAGGTCGGTACATAGTCAAAGACCTATAGAATAACATGTCCACTTCGGCACTATATAGTCACTAGTCAACAAAAGTGGTTTCCCTTTCTTTTCAGGGGCGACCTTTTCCAACTTTTATTGCATCCGTCCCTCTTGCTACCAACAGCTAAGGTTGACACCCAGGATTTCACGTAATTATGAAAGTCCTATGCTGCCAAGGTGGCATGCTAGTAATTGAGGTATATTTTCCAGAAGGGGTGTCCGATACAATTAATGATCACCAACCTTCCAAAAAGGGTTGGAACCCAGGAGAACACGGAATAAGCCGAACATCAATGTAGATCCCACAAAATCATACAAAATCACTGAATCCCAAACTTGACAAGTTGGAACTAGCACAATATCGGAACGAACATCAATGAGCATGCTGCAGGAAGGTCCAGGGAAAAACCTGCAGTCTTGCACAGGGATAGGATAAAACGTAATGCTGATTGGTGTTTCTCAAGAATCCAGGATGTGTCTATACAAATGCAAGCTGATCTACAAACGTCCCAGGAAGGAGTTGAATGTTGAACCCGCGAGAGGGTGTGCAAATATGAAGGTTTTCACGCGATGCGGCGCTGTCGAGGACTCCAGCCCCTCACGTGCTATAGCAAGAACAACTCACGTGTGCGCTGGTGCTAGCTTTCGATCAAACACGCAACTCACGTGCGCGATTCCGGATCCTTCCCATATGGCCACATGGCTGCTTGCAAGAAAGGGTCGGTCCGGCGCATTCTCCAAATAGGCCTTCGCTGACAGCTCCACCACCGAGTCTGCAGGCAATACAGTGCCATAGTGGAGGAGCACGTCCTTGGCTTCCCTTTGCAGGTCAAAACATGCCGTTGATTCGAAGAAGTCCAATTAGATACTGCAGTATAGGGGTTCCTCTTCAAGTGTTGAATGAACACCTTGAACACCTTTCGTGGTTTCCTCCACAATCTGTGGCAAAGTGGTCTTGTCAAAGCGGGGTCTTCACTCCAAATATGTTTAAGTTGTTTGTTCTCGCTCTGTGGCAGAAACGTCGACCACCAAACGCTCATCCTAAAGATTCTCAAGGCGACATTGAGGCCGGGCACCCCGCTGCACGAGACCGGTGCAACCGCTCCACGCCGCTGGAAGCGGTTGCACCGAAACCGGAAGGTGCGGAAGGTGCGCGTTTCTTGTTCATCCGGTCTGATATGCCAGGCTGAGCTTCTGCTGGGGACAGCTGGGGTTCGATCTCTCTGACCAAAACGTCACCTTCTTTGAGGTCCCGCGTGGCTGAAAGCACCACCAGCCTAGGCTGCAGCCCACCAATCTGAAGGACTGAAGGAAAAAGGCTGTTGCTTCAACCGGTGAGCACATTGAAGCCGATGAGTTGATATTCATCCCCAAGATTGGATAGCTTTGGCCTGCTTTTGTCCTTTTGCATGGGAAGGGGCTCACTGAAAAGGACTATCCTGATGATCCTTGCGCAACCCCATCTCCTTGAGACTCCGCATTTCACTCCTATGACCTACTACGGGCCCCAAAGAACAAAGAAAAACACCAGCTATCACTCCCCAAAACTCACATGGAACCTGATGGCATGGACCTTTGGAAGACGATTTTCCTCTACAACCCGAGGTGGTTTTCAGGTCATGTGGGCCTCTTCCCGAATATAGCTCATTCATGAGCCTTCATCAATGACCAACCCCCCACACCGGAGGTGGGGTGGGGTCGAGCCACTGTTGTTGTGGAGCAATTTCCTCCACCTCAACCTTGCAGTTGCCACACCGAAAGTCTTGCTCCGAGGTGAGGCCCATGGGCTCGATGGCATCCAGGAACCTCGGCGCCCAATGGACCGAAGCTCCTGAAACAGCCCAGCCCTTGGGCTGATAGAGGCATCAAATCCCTTAGGTCTGAGATAGATAACCGGTTCTGTCTCTGAAATTCCTTGGAAGGACACTCCGGCTTGTAGCTTCACCTCGAGTCTTGTGATACAGAGATTGAGATATGTGACAAACATCGCCCCAACAAAAACACACATCTTTCAATTTCACTTCTTTCTTTCGGGTGGGGGGGTGAGGAAGCTCCCCTGCAGTCCGAAATGGGTGCCAATGGAAATCCATCAATTAGAAGCCATAGCGGCACTGGATGTAGGAGGATGTTGATGTTGCCTGTGTTTGATCCTGGTGCCCTCCAAAGGCTATGGATTCTGCATTGGGATACTCCAGTTGGGTATAGCTTCCTGGTCCCAAAAATACCACTGGGCACAAGGATCCAGTCCTCCGTTCTCCTGCTAAATCTTCTTGAGCCACAGCGCGATCCAAAACGCCTCTAACTTCGTCCAAAGGACGGGACCAAGACCCAGCTTCTGTCAATCTGAATGCTCTTAGCAAAGAAGGACGCAAACCCCGCCCGGAAGGCTAGGCGGAAGGCTTGGTTGCTCGTGAAGCCGGCCATGCCGGAATTCACACACCTCACATGCGAGGTTCCGAAGAACAGGGATGATCCACATCTGAAAAAAAGGTAAAAACTCGGGATCCCTTAGTGGGTTGGACATGTCTGTATGGAATGAGTGTCTGGAAGCTCAAGGTCGAGCGGTACAGATCGGAACCATATATCCCGACAACGAAAACCAACGGGCACCACATCTCCATCTGCAAACAGGTTACCTACCTACCTAGCTACCTAGCTACCTAGCTACCTACCTACCTAGCTACCTAGCTACCTAGCTACCTACCTAGCTACCTACCTAGCTACCTAGCTACCTAGCTACCTACCTCCTAGCTACCTAGCTACCTAGCTACCTAGCTACCTAGCTACCTACCTAGCTACCTAGCTACCTAGCTACCTACCTACCCTCCTTATCGTTCGCTTGGGGCAGTTGGGCCACCCAACCCGTTCGCCGCACTGGAGGACAATCTGTTCTCTCGAGTTCAGGCACCTCTGCTTGAACCACTTATCCACCCGCCGGGTCAGCTTTTTGATACGCATCTGCAATGGAAGATCTTGAAGCTCACAAACCTGCCCCACCGTTCTCAGGAGAGTCTTGCTGGCAGCAATCCCTATGGCCCTATGGAACTCTCTTGAGGAGCATAGCCCCCGTCCAATTGAAATCATTTGAAGGTTGCAATCAAGCGTTTTCTTTTAGAAGTCTGGCCCCTCAAAACTGCCTGATTTTGGCACCCTAGGATCATATGCAGGTGAACAAAGGGACGGATTTGGTCTCATGGTAAGTAAGTATGATTGACTGAATTCGGTACTTTATCAAAGAAACAACTGGTTCGTTGAATGGATTGAATAAGTCCATTCTGGAGGACGGCCATGCCTCCTCCGCATTCCAAAGCAAGGGCTGTGGCGGTCGCACCTCCAGTGCCTCCAAATACGCTGTCGGCCATGGCTCCTCCACTGGCTTCTCCGCTCTCAGAAATGGCTGTTGCCGCTGAATCCACGAAATGCGTGGACAATCATTGAAACGGGAATGATATGAACCATGGTGCATGCAAATGAGTATGCCTTGTGCATGGTTTGTTTATATCATCGATCCTTTCCTCTTTTGGTGTTGGCTCAGAGTACGCTCGATCTTCGTTTCGCATCACAGAACCGTACCCATTGCGCTCCTCGTCGTCAGACATCGTAGGACCACCCTCAGTGCAACACGGCACTCCGCACGGCACGGTCGGTCAAGAGGAGCGGTCAAGACCGTTCTTCCAAGGAAGGTTTTGAGAGGAACAATGAGAAAGTCCCGCTTCTTTATGATGGCAGGTAGGTTTGTCCATGATCCCTGTTGCACTGTACAGCGATAACTCAAAAACTATCAATAAATCATCCGTAATGACATATACGTGCTGGACTCAGTATAGATTTGATTTGCCCCTTCCCTTTGTGTCAACTTCTATCCTGAAGCCATGACCAAAAAATATGCAAAGGTTGTCCCATGTTGTCCCATAGTTTCTCTGATTTAACGCCCTCATTCAGCAGTGGATCAAATCCACCTCTTCTTGGTCCGACCAATGCTCGTCCCCCGCACCTCCATGTTGGCCACCATTTGCATGGCCCTCCACGCCAGCTGCAGCGCCGCCTCCTCTCGCTCTTCGGCCACATCGTCGGGGAGCGCTCGGAGGCAAGCTGCTGGGCGCACACCGATCAAGGGAGAGCCCTTAGCTGAGGACATGAAATGAGAATGACAAATGGTCCGGTCGTCTAGAACCGGTTAGTGCATCCCGTTTCATCCTCACGACATGGGGACTGACACACACGAGTCTTGTTTTGAACATCAACTGCTCATTCAGTGTTATCTTATTGTATCATCATAATATATATATATATATTTATATGTATGGTTAGTGGCTTACTATGATGTAAGATCTTCTTTTCTTCCTCCTTCCGAAGGTGGTCTCGATCTCAGTGTCCCGCCGCTTCCATGGGCACCGAGGCCACCAGCTTGCCGTTCTGCCTAGGCATTTCGGGCAGAACCGATGCGATGGCGCTCTGTTCCGATGGCCGACCGGAAACGGACGAAATGGTGCAGGGAAGGCACTTTTCGCTCCTGAATTGATTCCTGTCATTTTCCATATGAGTTATTTTGGGGAAGAGAGGGGGGTACTCTCGAACGTTACACCCCTCTAGCCTCCAACAGCTAACTGAAAAACTGGATGTTTGCCTTTGATTCCACTTGCTTTGCAAACATGTGGAGTTGACCCCTTTCTCATGTCACCTTGCTGCCCAGGCTCACAGCAATGCCAGGGTTCACCTTGAAGGAACCTTGGAGCTCGGAAGAAAACTGGACCATTCAGCACACCCACATGGAACATGGAACCTGATGGCATGAACCTTTGGAAGACGATTTTCCTCTACAACCCAGTGGTTGATTCAAAATGATTCCATGGAGTCATGGCAACATCGGCAACATGTCTTGTTATTGGTAAAGCTCACACATCCGACGCAAATGAAAAAAGTGGAACCATCCCATCACTACGTCAAACCCACAGAATAGGCCGTCTTATGCCACATCTTACAAGATCTCGGCACCTCAAAAAACCAATCCAGCAGGGTCGGCTTCTCATATCTGCCAGGCACCAAGAACAAAACCTGGGGGGTCTGCTTCTTGACCTGAACTTCATCTCCATCAATGACCATTGGATGTCCATGGTTGTGTCCATGTTCATCCACAATCATTCCACCTGGTCCATCTGGCATCTCTCGCAAATGGGGGGAGCCAACAGGCTGGTTCCGCCAGGTTCCGCCATCCCAAAAACCGTCCAAGTGGTGCGGTTCCCACATGGAAACACCATGGTTACCATTGCATAAACAAAGCCGAGGCACGTGACTGCGACCGGGCCCATATCCGCAGCCGCGCGAGGGAGAGCTTGTCAGGGCCCTCAGAGGGCCGCGCGAAAGGAAGAGCAAGTGAAAGTACGATCGCGGCGACTCTTGGGGTTAAGGCTTCGCTACTAGGAGCAAGG